ACTGGAGGGAGGACCAGCGCCAGACATCAAGGAGGAGAGAACTTGAATAGAAAAGAATAGAAAAGACCGAAGGGCTAGAAAAGACCGAAGGGCGGCACTTCTCATGTCACTATCAAGGCGACGCGTCAAAATATAGTGACAGGTCCCTGGCTCTATTCCCACATTATAATTTTAATCCTCATATATTTCAAAATGGGAGTGACACAAGCTTTCTACCTGTGTACCCTTTGAAATCATGAAAAAAAAACTACCTGCAAGGAATTCTGCCGGTCAAGAATTCCGGGGAGAATGAAAATGGCTGGCACCCTAGAGTCTCTCTCGGCCGCATAAGGTTTGGTCCTTTTTTAACAAAAAGGACATGTTTTATGATTTCAAATGCACTGCCACAACAATGCCCCCGGTATCTTGCAATAGCGCCAGAGATGTTTACGTCCGTATGTAGATCTTTGTCGCTATAAGACATCGCTGTTACCAAATCTTCGTCGGCTGTTGCCGGCTTAGTTTTCAACTGAATTTGTACTACCTTCAATTTCAGCTTATTCGCTTAGAAATTCATCGCTTGTTCGGTGTTCGAGCACCTGGGTTTTTACTTCAAACAGCAGACGAGGAGCCATTTTCTTGCCGCCACCGTTTCCATTGCGGTGATTTTGTCGTTTCTTTTTCTCATTGAGGTACATATACTTCCTTATCAGCCTCATTCGAGATTTCAGTCTGAAATGTAGGGTTGCTGAAAAGTGTAGGACATCATGTTTCTACGTCTGAACACTTCAAGATAAAGCAAAGTAAACTAAGCCCTGCATCGAGAAATAAAAAAAGCCATATGTCACATAGGAAACAAAATACTCGATCTCTAACCTTCTTGCTTTCATCCAGGCCTTCAGATAACAGAACTACAAATACGCAGCAGATAGTAGACGCTGATATCGTCCTATGCTCTTTGAAGCGCCCAGCCTAAAGCAGTTACAGAGCTGAGCTTGCGAGGAGGAAAGCCAGCAAGCACACAGCGCCGTCCTATACTTTTCAGTCACCGTGTATTCCCCCGTAACACGGTCAACTGTCCGTTCAAACGACTCTGGCAGGGGCAGGGCATTTCCGGGCTCGAGGGACGGTCGTATTCGCAGTTGACCAGGGTTAACCATCTCTTGGGGCTGGGGTTGGAGGATTCGCGGTTCTTTTTGCCATTTAGCCCCTCCTTCTCCCCCTCCCGCTGCTCGACGGTAGTCCTGGAATCAATTCGTGGGGAATGGAGTGTGTTGGACCATTCCTTAGGTCAAATAGTATAGGAACAGCCACGATCGGTGGATGGATGTATGATGTGGGCAGGGGACGTTGAATTGATGGGTGTAGTGGGGGTCGTATGGTAGCCCCCAAGAGAGATAGGTCGTAAAATTTTTGAAAGAGGGCGAACGCGATGGTTGACTCTGCTTCGTGACTTCTTCTTTCAGGATGGTTTCACCCTGCTATCGGGTCTCGAGTCCAATGTGATTCCTGCACTCGGTGCAGCGTTGGCGATTGCTGAACTGGCCGCCGTCTGCTTCATTTACGGCTCTAAACGTTTCTTCTGCAACGTGTCCACAATGATTTTGGGAAAAGTGGTGAGTACTGACGAAAGTGGTCAGATTGAGATTTTGTCGGGCGCTCATGGCATGGGGGTGGGGGACATTCAAAACAGGGCATCAAACCGCTAGTAGGTGGCAGGAATAAGCCCGGGTGTGGAAGAAACCCAGAGAGAACCAAGATTACCATATCCTCCCATAGAATCCCTTCCCTCACTAAAGCTTAAAGCAACAGTCCTCAGCAGGGTGGGCGTGGTCGGAAACGGCTGCAATCCCCTCGGCCGATTCCCACTTCAGAGCTGTTCAGCCATTCCCACTTCGGAGCTGTTCAGCCCCTAGTCAAGAACGTAAGGAAGTGTGACTGAACAAAAACTCACCTTGGAAAGCCGCTAGGGAGGGAGCTGAAGTGGGCGTGGTCGGAATCGGCCGAGGGGATTGCAGTCGTTTCCGACCACGCCCACCCTGCTGGGACTGTTGCTTTAATCTCAAGTACTGTGAATGGCTCGTCGCTTGAATGCTCTCCCAACGATATGGGCATCTTTTGTCGTCCTGCTGGGGTGCGTTTTGCATTAGGAAGCAGCGTGACTAAACAAACGCAAATACGCCATGAATACGATGTGCAGCTGAAAAACGCTACTAATTTCAGGGCTACATCAGAGCTACATATCTGCAGCAAAGTGATCTACTCCTCAACATTGAAACAATTATCAGTATTCTTACAATGACCTTATGGACGTTCGTAATACCGATTCTGATTTTAGTACGTTACACAACTATACTCCCATATTGGTACCTGGAAGATTCCCATCAAAGTTCTTCTTTGGGGGTTCAATTTGAAATTGCCAGCTTTTCAAGAAAAAGTAGTACATGGCCACAAATAAAGTGACAATCTAATCAAGATTATTAACTCATAGGTTTCATATTTAGATCACGCTGATATTGTTTATTAAAAGCGACACTGTGGATTTCGGCGAAGTCGATCAACTACTGTTCGTTCTCGTCCTGCTCCCAATTCCAGCGCTTGCTATCTATCGAGTAAGTTCCTTGGTGACCCATCTATCGATTTTTGGTCATTTTGAAGCATTTTTTACCTTTTAAATCAACTGCTCACGGAATCTTTTACTTCGAACGTTCTTACTACTTCTGGTTTGACCAGTAGCAAAGCTATTCTCAGATAGACTTGCAGGAAAAACCTCCGAGTTACGGGCCAGCAGTGTCGGCAGAATATTGCTGCCGGCACGCCCATCTAGCTAATGACTGGCTGGGCTCGCGTTACACAGGAGTAACCGGAAGTAACCGCGTCGATATGGTAACCAACTCACAGTACGGAGTGGACATGTGTCAATCATGAAATACGTGGTCGCAAAGCATATGTGCCTGACTGTCTCTTCCCTAATTACGAAGGGACGATTTCAACCTATGCAAGAGAAGTCTATCTGAGTTCGGTGAAATACGCATTCCGTCTAAATTAAGAAAACAAATGTCTGTTTGGCAACCTCATATCTTCATTGTGTTACGCTTATCACGGACGGTGTATGGTACAAAAAATAGTAGAAATTGTTATAACGAAAAAGAAAATTATGCTCCATACAGATTTATTCCACTGATGCATGCTAATCCAAAATCATAATTAGAGTGCGTAAAGACGCGGAAAAAAAAAGGATTCGCTTATTGGGAGCAAATCCTGACTGCGAGCTTTGAAGAAAAACCCCCGTCTGACTGTCTTATAGCTAGGTTAATTCCATATTGGGAAGTCAGATAATATACAGGAAATAACACTACAACAGATGAATTCCATGATATTATATTAACGTGCAAATAAACTGCTGGTCCAAGTATCAGTTGTTGACAATCAATCGGACCAACCCTCGACATCTATTCGTACCCGATCCGCCGTTCTCTTCTCCCTTTCGGACCTTTGGCGGTCATTAGACTCCGCGCGCCGACCGAGTTCTTGCGGCAATGGCAGAGAAGCGAATTCGCGTCTAGTCGGATGATCTGTTGTTTTTTATCTGTAACATCCTTGTAGCATTCAGTATTACATCGTCTTCATATGCACTGTTTAATAAAAAGTTTAAGCGTATTTTGGAGCATGTAGGAGTCAGTCTTGTAACGTTCCGGCCTATGGCCGTCCTAGGAAACGATGGGAATTCCTGATGCTCACCCTTGGGCCTCACACATTGAAGGTACAATTTTTCGCTGAGGTGGTATAGGGCACCACGTAGGCGAGGCGCGGCCCGAGATAGATACCTCGAGCAAATGATCTCCCAATAGAATCAGAATTCCTAGATTTTTAGAGCACACAGGAACTGCTGATCCGGCTACTATAGTAGTAGTGAGTAGTATTACATTTTTATTAACAAGGTAACGGTAAGTCTACTGTGGTAATAGTGAATCGTCAAGCTCCTCGAATGAATCATCCGTTTTTGGTCGCCGCTGTCCAGTTTTCGGCCTAGCCACTCCAGCTCCTACTGGATCTGCGTAGGAGAGATCAGCTGATTCTAAATAGCTTCTTATAAGACCCCTTCTCTTATAATAGTAATTCGAAGAACCCACTCATATCTCTCGGAGCAACGGTAAACGGCTGGTCCTCGAAGGCAAATTTGGCGCTTGACATTCGTAAGCTGTTCAGTGACGTGGGACGTTCACCTAAAAAATGACTGTACAAGATTGCCAGGACGACTACAGACGACCGTGTCCTGCCACTACCAAGTGCGTCATTTTGCGCTCAAAAGTTCCATTCCCTGCCTGGACATACTGAATGCTTCATTTGATAGGCCTAGGCCTGGAAGACTGTAAGAGCCCAAAAAGATTACTGGGATATCAAATACACACATAAAAAATAATGAAGCTCAATCCCTCAAAGGCAATGATTACGATGTCTGGGCCAAAGCCAGATTCGTGACGTCATGGGTTGAAGCGGTCCAGTCACACTCCCTAGTGCACCAGGTGGCGGGGGAGAGGGAGAGCGGGGAAGCAAGGAAGTGGTGTGGCCGCCTTCCATCGCCCATCCAAAACTGTGTCCCCTAAATTGTTTTAGATCTCCCTTCAGCCGTCGAATCATTGATCTCGATCGAAAAGCAGCTTTCAATACAGCAGAGTTAGACGGACTGTTAAGCTTCGCAAGAATTGCTGTCAATTGTTCGCGAAGTCTGAGGTCTGCCCTAGGAAAGGAGGCAGTATGTATCGCAGCTGTTGCAGATGAGCTAATGGCAGACACCGGGAAGTAACCTACGACGTCACTGGGCTGGGAAGGAAAGAAGACACTTTGATCACCCCGAAGCACTTCAGCTTCTCACCTGAGCCTCCTTGAGGTGGCGGCAGACTGTGCGATGATTGAGCACTGTGACGTTTGCCCTGGCTGCTGTCAGATTCTCGTTGCATCTTCAGCTGACGTACTCGTTCCGCCTTGCCCAACTTTTCCACGTATTCCTTAGCCTCTGGCATCCCGAGGTCGGTGGTGATACGGACAAGAAACTTCAGGCCTAAAACATATAAGCAGTTTTGAGCCAGAATACGCGAATTACAGTAATCCGGAGGTTCTGATCCATTCCAAAAAAGAAAATTTTCATACTTACATTCAATATTGGCTGGAAATTTCTTGTGAATATTTTTGTACAATTCCAATGCTTTTTGGTAGTTACCAGCTCGTCGATGCGATGATGCCATCATCAACTGCCATTTGATTTCGTTTGGTCTGAAGAAATGATGATGATTTGTGCCGTGCAGTCGTTTTCGGCTCTACGTATTTCTCCCCTGCAGTGAAAAGTCTCACAGTTGAAGAAGAATTACTCAAAGTTTTTTCCGCAATGCCAGCTCATGTCGATTTCTGCATCTTCACTAGTTTTGAAAAATCAAAATATCCTAGGAGAATGAACGCTTTGGCCCATGACCCCAAAATCGCATATGTTTTTTGGAGGCAATGCTCAGGAAGTGATCATCGAAGGGGTCAGTGCCCTTCCCGTAATTTGTTGTCCTATCTCAATAACCGAATCAATAGAAATTGTGAACTTACTGCATAATGGAAGCTTTTTCAAAATAATTAACGGCCTTCTCAGAGAACTGTGCATCGATGTAGTAGGCACCCATCCATTCGATTACTTTCAGATTTGAAGGATAGTAGCGATAGCTCTGAAAAATGCCTTGTAATTTTTTACACTATTCAGAAGATTTTGTTGGGTGGAAGCTGCCGGATAAAGGCAGGCAAAAGTTAGCTTGGTGCAGAGAATTTCGAAAGCTGACTCCCTTCGCGTAAACGCGGATGTCTCATCACATACTACTTACTATTTGTGTAAACCATGATGAGAAACGAATAACAAGCTGTTACCATTTCTTCATAGTTAGCAATAATCACTTAATAGCAATAAAAACACATATTAATACGGCAACTGCATAGACCCTCAACGTTCGCCTAATTGTAGCCGTAAGAACAATACTGTCAAACCATACCCCAGCACATAATGATGATTTATCGATTTTACGCGTCAAGTCGATTACCGGTAAACGCACCAACTTGTACACCGTAGCCTTTGACAAGAAAATGGAAGACCTTACATCGTAGTTACTCTGGAAAGCTTGCGTCTTGTCGCCTTCAGCATCATAAATAGCAGCGAGTCGCGCCAAAATGGCTGGATCTGTTGGTGCTAACGAATTCGCTTGACTGTAGAGTTCGATCGCCTGCGCTGTGTCCTCCAGTGACTCATAGCTGAAGAATCAATGCAATATCAAAATTCCGTTTCTACTTGAACTTTGAATTTAGTGTTATGACCACCCGACCATATACAGGGTGGCTACTAAATATTGGCGCATGGATTGTTGACCATATTTTTAAAACGAGAAGCTTTTACATCTTCAGAGGTTTATCTTTATATACCTTATAACATGGCAGTACATTGCTAGAGAAGTGCTCGGAATG